TAGATTTGACCAGAATAGATCTAAATCCTGACAATTCTGGCTTTACTGTGGCTGCTGTCAGCCCCTGTTTACTTGTTTCAACAGCTGATGATGTTGTAGATATGCAGGGTAATTTTGGAAACCATGGTTTCTTGGCACCATCTAGTGACTTGTGTCTCTAGTGACACACTGTGAGCAAGGTGCTGTGTAAGGAAAGCCAAGAGGTGAGGAAAATAACCAAAGCATAAAGAGTATGTTAGAGGTCTACTGTAGCTAGCTTTGAGACATGGAATTGTGGAAATCTGAAAGAAGCTGCATACTGTAGCAACATTGGTGGAGCCAATTTGTATCAAGAAACAGATGAATAAGATCCTCAAAACGGTTAACTACTAAAATCCAAATGAACTAGGTAAGACACAAGAACAGGGCTGGACAGTCATGCTGTTTTCCAGAATGCATAGAGTTCAGCAAAATAAGCTCTGCTTCTCACTGTGCCACAGTAACATTTATGTACAGTATGTAATATGGACTTTGTACATTATTAATTCAGTATCTGTGCAACACTAAGAAAAAAAGTACTTGTATTTTGCTTTTTACAAAAAAAAAGAATGTTTAAAATAATTTTGTAGGATAATAAATGCACTGCAGCATACAGTACTTCTAGCAACAAAACGACTAATATATCACTATGATTATTAAATCAACAAAAATAAATACATAAATAAATTAAAGATGCTGATTCCTTCAAAGGTTTGTGCTCTTTTAATCACAGGGGCTTTGTATCCCATTTGTAATGAAGAATCCAGCATCCACAGATATCAGATTCACAGCCGTTCATGAACTGTTTCAAGCTCCCTGGATTGGGAAACTAGAGCTGAGTGATGCGGGAAAATGGATAGATGATCTTCTGATTTTTGTAAGTTTTATGCCATGAGAAACTCACCTACCAAAGCCTCTATGTCAATATTAGTCATAAATGCCATTGACCTTTATAAATCTAACTAATGTCCTGTAAAGAAGGCCTCATATCTCCCTTTTAATTATTTTCTTTATTAATATTTGTCAATGGTGTGTTGTAAAACTGCTTGTTTCAGACAAAGTATTATGCTATAGTTTGTAAACAGTTTCCACTACAGTGTAGCTGGCATTCTGACCTGTTTTGTTGTCTTTTTACTATTTCATATTAATTTTAGGGTCTAGGAGGAGCTTGCTATCAAGCGTTCTACCAGAGAGTGCTGTCTGCTGCATCTCCCTGCCAAGCCCAAGTTACATGCTTTGCTGCAGCCATCTTTTCTGTCATCTTGGCTGTCCCCTCTGTGCTTATTGGAGCCACAGCAGTGTCAACGGGTGTGTTACACACCTGCATTTTTAAAAAACAATTCATTCCCTTGTCCCTTTTTTGGGGGAATTCACCTTCTTTAGATTTTAATGCTGGGTTTCTTTAAGTCAACGGAGAGCTACTCAAATGCTCTTATCTTTTAATAGGCCTAGCAATTCAGTTTCTTTTCAATTCAATTTCAAGTAAGGAAATAATTTACAATTTGTGAAAGATTCTGTGAAAGTGAAAGTATACTGTATCAATAGCAAATGGAACCATTTATAATCCTGAATTACTTCATCTTTTATTGTCATTGTAAACAGTACTGCTTTGCAACCAGGTACATTTGAAAGTCATGATTTCAGCATGAGCATTAATGACTAATGACTAAAACTAATGTTACACCTTTGATGTTCCAGGATGTTTCGTTGTTCCTCTATCTACAGTGATGTTATAAGCACTATTATACTGTACAAGCCTTCCGTACTAGTTAAATGAACAGTCAATACAGTTGAACTACAGTATTGTGAATAAACATTCGTCTTTAGTATTATGTTTTAATGTACTGCAGCAATGTTTTTTATACATGTTAGAACTCATTGTAGAATTACCTCTGGCCTCATTTTACGGCTCTGTTTCAGACTGGAACCAGACGAGCTATGGCTTACCCACACCATTTGAGAGAGGTGAAGCCGCTAAGATTCTCCCCATCTCGCTGCAACACCTCTGTCCACCCTTCATCTCCATCGCTGGTATTGGTGCCATCGCAGCAGCGGTGATGTCTTCAGTGGACTCTGCCATGCTGTCTTCTGCCTCCCTGTTCGCACGAAACATGTACAAGAACATCTTGAGAAAAACGGTGAGCCTTGTTACCTGCGATAAACATAAGGACAGTTTATATTGCTGTCACAC